TTTTCAGGGTTTCTTCTCTGTTATGATTTCAGTATTTGGATATTGATGTAGTTTTGGACTTCAGTGTAATATTCCTAAATTTTTGAAATAGTCTGATACTTTTTTCTTAAAACCTGATCTATCAGTTACTGAATACTGCCACAGGTTATTTATTCCTACTCTAAGTGAAATCTGAACCCAGATATCAAGAAATAGTGTTGTTTTTTTCATTTGAAGTGGCCGCATAAACTCTTTACTGCATTTACTGCTTTTCTTTGATCCTTTTAAGTAAGAAATACCAGTTGAGTCCTCTAATAAGGTACAGTAATTCTGACTCAGGTGGGACCAGATAGAGCCTTGTGTATAAAGAACAGATTTAGGTTCCACCTTCACATTGTACTCCATTAGGTAGTTCAAGTTTTTCTATTCTGTCTACTTCTCAAGGTATGATTTGACAGGTGCTCAATGAAGATAATCAACAACGATAATATTTAAACTATGCCATTAGTATTTAGTATATTGGACAAAAAAACAGGTATATTTAAGTGCATAGATACTCAGATGAAAGCGAGCAAATCTCAAATTTTTTTTTTTTTTTTCCCTCCTACCCTCCATCCTGTCCATCTGGGCCATTTGCCTTACTAGTTACAGAAGTCAGCAGTACAGATATCAATGCATTCTTTTGAAAGCTGGGAAAATGGCTTGGCAAGCTTAATGTTACCTTCTGTTAAACAATTTAATTTGTTCCTAATTTTTTTATTTTTTTTTTACTGCCTTAAAAGTGTTAGTGAGTGCTGGAGCTTTCGAAAGGTCCTTTAGAGTTAGACTACTCTATTTAGCCTTCTGTACTTTTTTCTCCTCTATACTCCAGTCATCAAGAAAGCCTGTTTCTACACACTGTACTGTGACTGCCTTTCTGTCCTGTCCTTTCTTTTTTCCTTTTGTATTTTTATCTTGTCTGTCTTTCTTAGTTCATCTCTGACTTTTTCCACCATCTGTTACCATTTACATGCTCTCTTTGGATAATTTATCTTAATGTCCTGTTCTGTCTGACTGCCATTTCCATTTGTAATTTCTCTAGTCTTTCCCTTTTGGATTCGTATTTATATTGTTTTCCCATTTTGTGGTATGTATATTTATGATACGTAGACAAATACGGGACATGTGAAATAGTGTATGTCATTAGAAATACTCTGACTTCGTAAATGTCTTTCAGGATGATGCTTCTTTGCTAGAAAGTACCTCATGCTCTTTTTCTTTGCATTGCTGTTGCCATAGTATTCCTATCAGTTCTATGGCACAAATGACAACCAACATACAGCTATGGCTTTATAAATAGGTTCCTTTAAGAACATCACTTTCCCCATAGCATAAGATGTTCCACTGTATATTTAAGAAGAAAACTTGAGTCATGATGGTTTTTTTCTTCTTAAACATACATCTACATCTCTAGAACAGTTTATAAAGGTTCAAAAGTGTTCCAAAATTGTTTAGAAAGGCAAGTAAAGATCATTTAAAAATAATGTATTCTAGAAGTCAAGAATTCTAATTTTTGATTATTTTTTCTACTTTGAGACTAAACAGTTTTCTGTTAAACCTCATAACACTACCCATTCTGTCTGCACCCTTTAGCAGGTCAGGAAAATCTATAGCAGTAAAAGACATCACAAAAAGTCATGTTAGCATTTATCTAACATGATTTATAACAATGGTGTTCTATTATTTCCATGTTTTAATGCATTTTCTTTAATATGACACAAAAATACTTTTAATAAAATGGGTCAAGCTTTGTTTCATTTAAAAAAGTAAATAAAAATATGCATAGTAATGTAATGCTAAGAAATTCCACCTGTCAGTTTTCCTGACAAGCCTCTTTGAGTCCTGTTGTTATTATTTTATAATCCCTGGAAGCTCCACTGCAGTTATAACTGGGTTATAGGAACTCTTATCAGTTATTTTTAATATAAATTATCTACTAGTACTATCATAACTTTCAGAATTGATTTGGGAAAGTTTTTTGTGAACTCTTTAGACTGTTCGATTTCTGTACTTGTCCTCAAATTGCTTTGTAAAACTTGATAGCTAAACCACAAACTTTGAGTCTGACTAAAATTCTCTGCATCTTCAAAACTAGAGAGAGAGAAGCAGTGTAGCATTAATAATCTTGTTAATAACAAAAAGATTTTTTAGCATGATTGTTTATTTGGGAGATGTATATACATGACAATACAATATTTTTATATTATGAATATAAGCAATCCTTACGTCAATATTGTCACAGAATAATTTGGAATAGGAACTAGAATTTGATTTATATTTATGGTTGATATGGTGGTTTTTATTTCTTCCCCTCAGAAATGAACTGTAAGTTTAAAATATGACTCTGTAAACTTTGAAGATTTTTTTCCCCTGTTTTGTTGTTTCTCAGTTTAACTTCTAGTAGAGAAGAAAAAGTGGGAGAATGGTGCTTTCCAGTATGCGTGGAACATCCTACCATTCTGATATTTTTTTGTTTTGAGGGGAGCATTTAAATATCAACTCTTCTTTGTAACCCATACATTTTTATTGGTGTTTTGCATTAAAGCAATGTAAATAGATTTATTTTAATAATAGCAGATACAGAAATGCATTTTCCTGAAATAATAGTTTTCCGCATGTTGAATGTACATGGCCAATTATTTTAGTGGGGTGACAATTGCTGGGTATGTATTTACAGAAATACAAGACAGTTAATAAATAAAATCATAATAATCAAAGTAATATATTTGTACACTATCACCACAGTTCTGTCATTAAACTCATGCTGCTACCATAGTGTTACCATTAATGACAGTCAGTATCTGCTGTTGACTTCCTTATTTACATATTTAGAGTTTAATACTGCAGTGGATTTATAAAGCCTTTCTAGTGTTATGCCTTATACTGAATTACTGAAGTACTGCAAATAAATCTGCTAATTACTAAAATACTTCAGGTAATGTGGTAAGTATGTCACATAAACTGCATATCCAGTTCTCACCCATGTCAGCAATCTCATTCAGGTTTAATTGAATTACTCCAGTGAGCAATGCCTTTTTTTATAAGTGAAGACTTGCAGGATTGGATTTTTATTTCATGTTGTTCCTTTTGTAGAATCATAAAGCCAGAAAATGCTTTACAGTTAAATCATGCTGAAGTGGAAAGATACACTTTGCAGATCTAGTTGGAATGTTCTTTATCTGTTACTTACTCCCAGTCAAAAGCAGGTTGCAGGGTTTAAATGAAATAGCAATATTAATTGTTCCTAATCTGTTGACTGTAAAGTCAAATGTTTTAATTTAAATTACCCTGAAAGTGGTACTGCTGAAAGGCAGTAGCTAACAGGTGAAGACAATTACTGGCATCAGTAATTTCTTCAGCCACTGGAACTTGGTCTGCAGGAGTAAATCAATCTATGCTGTGACAGGGAGAATAAAATCAGAAAAGGCAGGAAAAAAATTACATTTTTGACGGCACAATAAGAAGAATATAGATGAGTTTAGTACATGTATATTTGAAACAGAAGCTAAGCTGGTAGGAGCTAAAATTTCATTAACTAAAAAAATGATTGTAAATGTAATTCTTGAACACTGAACATCTACCTTGCAGATATGCTATCCCAGATTATCCTAAATTCTGGAGCAGAATTATGCAAAGACTAGGCAAAGCGGTATGTTCTAAACATGGAGTTCAATAGTGTGTTTCTTCTTTAAAGGTTTGGAGGTGAAGGCTGTAGGTACATCTGTAAGTACCTGTAAATCATCCTGTTCAACTTCCATTTTTCTTGAAGTTGTAACGACATTGAGAGGAGAATGTACTGTTACTCAGAAACTACGTTGAAATGTACAGAATATTATTTTCTTCATCCCAGAACAAATCTGTACCTCACTTTAAAGGTGTTGGTATCAGAGTACTTAGCTCATATATGAGCAGACATCACCAGACTTAAAATTCTACAACATTTAACAGTTCATTCTCCAGAGATGTATGAAATGTTGTCACTTAACAGAAGAGAAATTATTGCTGCATAGGCTTTTTTTTTTTTTTTTTCTTTTTCCTGAAAATTGAAGAAAGAAAAAAAAATCTCAACTGTCTTGGAGATTAATGACAAGTATCTAAATAGAGAATATCTGGCAGTATGGTGGGCTGTTGGGGAACTAAGAAGGTTACATGTTTACCCTTCCTGCCAGGAAACATCTTTTAGCTTTAGTTCTACATTGAAAACTTTGATCGTTTTGAAATTCTTCTCTGTTAGAATTTTTGCACTGCCCTTTAGACATATAATCCAAACTGCAGTGAATTGAGTACTATATCTAGTTTACTTCCAAAGATCAAATTGGATCTTGTCATCTTAAAAGAGAGAGAGTGCTGTATCAGTGTCCCTGTGTTAGACAGATTTCAACTGTCATTGGCTGATGTTCACCAGACTCCATCTAGGTAACATTTTCTTGCCAGTTTAAGTTCCTGTATTAAAAGTAGCCAGATTTCTTTGCTGTCAACAAATATTAAATAATTTTGTCAGTGCAAAACTTGGGTGAAAATCAAGACAAGTGTTCTTGGTTTTCCATCTCTGAGCAAGAAATATGAAAAGACCTGGTTCTCAGCAGATGGTTGCTCGCAAACTTCTTACCTACTTCTTTCCTTGGAAATAAAAAAATTGAGGACAATGTGGCAGAGGGTTCAAATGAAGGGGTTTTCTTAAGGAGCAAAGGAAAGTCTCATGCTGGAAATACAGATTTTTGTATTTATTTGTTTATTCACACTGATCCAGTTCTAAGATTCTTAACTTGGGGTTTAATAAACAGTTTTTAGTAAAAAATTGCGCAAGAAATTTTATACATTTTATGAAGGATTAAGTCAAGCATCAATTTACTAATAGGGTTTTCAAACAGCTCAGGTTATTTGCTATAGGATAGGTACTTCTTTCATGTCTCCATCACTTTAAGAGCACAATATTCTGTAAATTTTTAAGAATTTATCTTTCTTTCTTTTCCTTTTTCCAGCTACCCTTGGTGTTCTACACGAATACTCATTAGTCATTCTGGAGATGGACTTACTGTCTGGAACCTACCTCTTGGCAGTCTTATTAGCCTGTATTGTATTTCAATCTGGCGCACAGGAGAAGAATTATACCGTGCGGGAAGAACTGCCTGAAAATGTCCTCATTGGCAATTTGCTCAAGGATCTTAACCTAACGCTGGACCCAGATGTGCCCCTTTCCTCACCGCTACAGTTCAAGCTTGTGTATAAGACCGGGGATGTACCGTTAGTACGGGTGGAGGAGAACACGGGAGAGATATTCACAACTGCAAACCGCATAGACCGAGAGAAGCTGTGCTCTGGCATCTTTACTGAGAATCGCTGCTTTTATGAGGTGGAGGTTGCTGTTCTGCCTGATGAAGTTTTCAGACTGGTCAAGATCAGGTTTCTAATAGAGGATATAAATGACAATGCCCCCCTCTTCCCCTCAACAGTCATTAACATCTCTATCCCTGAAAACACAGCAATTAATTCTCGCTATTCTGTCCCATCTGCCGTCGATCCGGACATTGGTGTGAATGGTATTCAACATTATGAACTCCTTAAGGTGGGTTTCTTCCATTCTTCTGTTACACTCTGTGTTAGTTTCTTCCCACAAATGTTGCCAATCCTCATCAACCCATCAGAAGTAAAAGCTGTGCACTGCATATACATGTCTTGAAATGTTAACCTATACCCCTGAGTGCTTTCTAGTGCATCATATCTTCACTTTGTGGAAAGCTGCTTGTGTATATGTATGTCTGTCTGTGTAACAGTATGGTGAAACATGCATGTCTTCACGAACCCTCCACCAGCACTGAGAGCGTTTGTATGCTTTGGATAAACAGTCTTAGACCATTAAATATGTGTTCCTACTGCCACCAGCATGACAGTGCCAAGTGCAACAGTATTTTGAATTGGGTTTATGTCTCCCTCTTGCATGACTGTTAGATTTGAGTGGTAGAACTTAGCACAGAGGCTTATGTGATGTGATACTCACCTGTATGCTGATGAGCTATTCCAGAATGAAAGAGAGTCCATTTCTCAAAGCAGCTTTGTAATGTTTGGGTGGGCATCATGTCTGGGCAGAGGAAAGGCCAAGGTACGCATGAATACAAGGATAGCAGTGCCAATGGCCTTGTAAGTGAAGAAATTTCATATTCTTGCTGCTTTTACTCTTTCTAGCATGTAACAGTAGAATTGCAATTAGGGAACAAAAGAATAACATGTAAACCTGTGGTGTGTAAGTGTGTGATTGCTAAATAAACGATTACTTGCATTTGATTTTAGTTAAGTAGAGGGTTTAGAACAAGAAAGGAACTTACCCGGAAACTGATGGGTTATTATCTTGGAAGCTGCATATGTCTTCCCTTGATTTAGAGTAGGAAACTATCGGGTGGTTCAACTGCTCAGGACCCAATCTGACACTGTTATTACTGACTGGAATGACCAGTATATTGCTTGATTGACCTGATAGCTAATATTTACTGATATTAGTACTTCTTAGCAATATCATAAAAATAAAGTGCTGCCTTATTTTAGCTCTTTTAAATTGCTTACAACCTGAAGTAGTTGTGGCAGTGTGGGTACTAACTCGTGACAGACATAAAAATCTTTTTCAGAAAACTGCATCCCACTGGACACTTCTGGTTAGATATCTAAGAAAAAAACCCACATATGTCTGTCAGTTCTCAGTGTAGCCTAGGAATTTAAAATTTTTCAAGAACTTACTATGAAGTTTGAGGTCTTTGTAGTAAGCTCTTTAAAACTTTTAAATTCCTAGGTTATACTGAGAGCAGACAGATCTACATGTGTGTGTTGGTTTTTTTTTTAGATGGATAACCAGAAACATCTAGTTAGATGCAGTTTTCTTTATTTGACTTTTTAAATGAGAATCTGGGGAATGAATAACAGTATATTAAGTAAATAACAGTAGGAGTAGAAAATAAAAATCCAGGGCTACAGACAAAATGTGGCAAAATAATGCAAGGTCTGAATAGAGAAATGTTAATATATCTGAGAGAAATGTGCTGTTATTGTAGGAAAAGGAAGAAAATAGAAAACAGCAAAATCAGGAGTCCCTGGGATTGAGTGAGCAACAAACAGTTCAGATCACCACAATAGCAGTCTTGTTTTGTGAGTTTATTTTTGGACTGTGTGTTCAGAAACAGAATGTAACAGATCAGCAGAATGGTAGCATATTTGTATCACACAAGTGGGAGCTCATCTAAAATACAAGCTACAGCTCTGTACCAAAAGTAGTGTAGGGTGTCAGGCCTTGTCTAAAGATCTAATGTGAGATCAGAATGTTTTCCAGAGAGACAGGTTTCACCAGGAGATGTGCAAATAATTTAAATAAAAACCCCAAACCCTCAAATAATTTTGTATTTGAATTAGGGTGAAAACAGAAATAAAACCAGTTGCATGTTTATTCAAGTGTCTCTGAAAAACTGCCTTTGACATATAAGGAAAAGAAAGGTGATGAGTATGAACACTATGGATTGAAAGTTCTGAATTCTTGTGCTAGATGTGCCGCAACCAAAATAATTTGTAAAATCACAGCCCTGTAGACAGATCTCCTAAATAAAGTAATTGCATTTTTCTCTTGCATGCCTGTTGGTCAGGTACTTTTTGAGTTATGGATCCATTGCCTTCAAATAAGCCAGCAATTTCACATACCTTGGAAAGTATCTGTAAAACTGAGCAGCAGTTTATGACAGCCAGACACCGTTTGGAATAGTAATGTCCAGATGTTATTCCATTGGTAGCTTTTACAATGTTAATACCAAAAGTGATCATATACAAAGAGGGGAAAAAAGGTAGTAGAAATGAAGGATTCCGGTGAGCAGGCAAGGAGTGTAGCACATACAAAGATCCATCTGTCACTAGAGAAGGACAGGGAGATGAAAATGGAAGAGTGGTGGTGCCTGCAAACTCTTTCCTGGCTGACACTGAAATGCTGGGAGGGAGGGTGGCAGGAGCACAAATGCCCTTCTCATGTGGTTATCCTCTGCTGGTTTGGGGTATACGCTTTGAAGATACCAATGTCTTACGGCTTCTGATGTGCATTGACCTTTTCCTTCCTTTTATAACCAGCGTACAGAAAAGTGGGGAAACAGCAGCGCGTGAAATTGTCATGCGTTCCGAACAGGATGAGTCTAGCAGGGCTGATATGACACTGTTGTGGGAAATGTTGGAAAGCACCAGATATGAAGATAATGGGCAGGGTGGCACACCAGAAGGATTGCAGGGGAGTGGGAGATGATAAGATCTGCAAATCACTTTCTAGAAGCACAAAGGCTGAAGCTTTAGTATGTGTGCAGCAACAGAGTCAAATGTGTTGCTCTATATTTTAGAGAAAGTAATAGCAACTTGACAAGCTGTGCAATGAAGAGAAAGTTCTTCAGTTATATTTCAGTTTTCAAAAAAAGTTTAGCTGAAATGTGCTTATTGTCTGTGTGAAGCCAGGCCTATTTTGCCAGAAGATAAAGAGATGTTTGCCATAACAATTTCTAAAAAGGAATAAACGTCGTACTACAAACTCAGCTGAATACCTTGTAGGTTTTAAACACATTTTTCTCAATTCTGTATCTCATTGGGAAGGTAACATTCATGTAGTTACAGTATTTCCTCAGTGTGTTACACTTGCCTTACTGTGGCTCTTAAAGTATGTGAAAAAGTTGCATGTGATTGCTGTATGCACTTTGTCTTGAAAAGTAGGTAATTATAGTATTTTAACTGAAAGACAGACCTTCCTGTTGTTGTAATCCCCTGCTTCTTTCTAAAAATCGTTTTAAAATAGAAGAAAACGGAACATTGTAGAAAAGGTATTGTTGTATTTTGGGTTCAGCATTACTTGGAAGTTTCATAACAAAGGATTTGATTTACTTAATACAAGAGAGCACTTTAATTGTCACACAAATTATCAGTCAGGTAATTTTTACCTGCCTGCATTTTTTCAAAATGTACCTCAATAGAAAATAATTTCTTTATATGTAACTGATTCATGGTACTGTAACTTCAAAACTCCATGTGTCTGTGATTCAACTGTATGCTGCCTGAAATGCATGAACTCTAAGACGACAACAGTTTTACTTAACCTCTGCATTTCTTCTTGTAAGACTTAGGAGTTCTGTGGAGGATAAGTTCTAAGAGATGTTCTAAGGAAAGCTGTGGGTTTGGTTTGTTCTGTTTTAAAGGAAGATCAAAATGTGTCTTTTGGATAGCTTCTGAATTGTTTTCTTATTTAGAAAATTAGTTTTAAAAATTTGCAAATATCTCCCACACATCCAATGTAATAGCACTAGTAATTGACCAAGAGTGGCTCTGGTAGAAGTTTACAAATACTGAATTATTTAAAAGTAGTGATGCTTTAACATTACATGTAGCTCTTTTCTTCCCCCCTGCCTGCCGACATAGAACAGAGGGTTTCCAGGAAACAGTCATGTAAGGCAACTTGCTGTTACCTAATAAATTGTTGTGCACAGCATTATAAAAAGCAGTGTTTCTCTGCTGAGGTGCCCAAAGCTGACGGTGGATAGCATCACATTAAGAGTTCAGATGACAAATGGTAAACAATGTTTACTGTGAACAAGGCTAATGAGGGTGAATTAATGACTTATGATTTAAAAATAAAATGCATTTAAAATGAGAAATAGCTCCAAGTCTAGATTAGTTAGAAAGTTGACATAACAGTGATAGTATCAGGTGGTCAAAGGGGCAGCTAAGTCAGTGAAGTAATTAAGAGAAAGAAATGGACAGGTGGAAAAACAATGATTTTGTCTCAGCTCAGCTTAAAGTGTTAACTGGGAATGATAGGGAAAAAGAGAGATGGGCATTCATAAACAGAAGTAGTATGTTAAAACAGTGGGATGCAAGAGCAGATTTTAAATTTAAAAGTTAATAAGCAGTGATTTCTGATTAAGGATGAATCTACAAATACTAATGTTCTGGTTTAACCCCGGTAGGCAGCTTAACCTACAGGTCTTTGTTCACCTCTTCAGGGCATTCACATCGCTTACACATTGATATGAAATGTACATTGTGTCTGACAATACCACCACAGTGTTGAAAATACTTGCATGCTGCTGTTGACTACACTATTTTAGTATGGTTATATAGGAGTTCAAGGCAAGCTAATATTTAGTATAACCTGATTAATACACTTAGAATTTATAGATGTCACAGGCCTCTGCTTTGACTGTGAAGATTTTAGTGTGAAACATTTCTTTGTTCTCTTAGATGTTAGAAAGGGGAGCTGTTTCAGAGCAGGTTTTGAATAGAATTCCAGCTCTAAGCACTGTAATGGAGTGTACTTCCAAAAGGCTTCATGTAAGTGCATGTTTTAAATTAAATTATTACTTAACATTTCTTGTTAAGTGGGTATACTGCATACATTAAATGTTGCATAGGCGCAACAACACCCAGTTAGCAGTGAACCAGAGTGAAAGTATAACTCTGCTCTTACAGGAGCAGAGCATTCTGTGAGCTAATCCTTTGTGCTAATAGGTTGTTGCTTTAATCTGTTGCAGTTTGGGGGGAATTTAGATTGGTGCTACTGCTATAGTT